TTTTCCTGGTATGTAGCAGGGTTTCTCAAACTCGGCACTATTGACATCTGGACTGGATAATTCTTAGTTGTGGGGGCTTTCTGTACGCTATAGTATCCCTAATCTCTATCCATTAGATGCCAGCATCACACTCTCTCCCACTACTCTGATAACCAAAAATATTTCCAGACTTGCCAAACATCTCTTTGGAGGCAAGATAACCCCCAGTTGAGAAATACTGCTATTCAGATATTAAGTCACAGGTACTGTTACTGGCCTGTGGAATATATGTGACATCTCCCTGACCTCTTCCTCCCTGCATATACCGCTAGAATAATTCCTTCAGATGTCAGTCTGACCTAACATAAGGGCCCCCTTTCAAGGATCTCACACCTCAAACCAGACAGCACAAGGCTCTTTCCAGGTTAGGTGCTCTAGTTTCCCCTACTGGTGATAACTCCGTTGTTGGAATCCAGGGTAATGTGTTACAGAAGGTGGTTGAGAAGACAGCCTAAAGGATGTGCCTGCTGAGTCTTCAAGGACAAGTCAGAGGGAACTAGGCAGAAAATGGAAAAGACTTGTTATGCAGAGAGAGCATGTACCAGGCTGAGTGTGGTGGCTCACGCCTGCAATCCCAGCACTTTGGGAGGACAAAGTGGGCGGATCACTTAAGGTCAGGAGTTCAAGACCAGCCTGGCCAACATGGTGAAACCCTGTCTCTACTGAAAATACAAATATTAGCTGGATGTGGGGTACCCGCCTATAATCCCAGCTACTCGGAAAGTTGAGACAGGAGAATTGCTTGAACCTGGGAGGTGAAGGTTTCAGTGAGCAGAGACAGTGCCACTGCAACAGAGTGAGACTCTTGTCTCAAAAAAAAAAAAAAAAAAAAAAAAAAACATGTATCTAATGGCAAGGAAGGAGAAAACCTGCCCTCTCCTGGTTCCCAGGTAAACATACAGTGAGAAATGAAGCTGGAGAGAAAGCAGGGCCCAGGTCTTAAAGAACCAATTACACCGTACCATGGAGTTTGGAATTGATTCTGAGGATAGCTAGAAGCTGAGAAGAGACTGCATCAGACATATTTTAGAAAGATCTGAAGAACAGAAAATTACAAAGATTGGTGCCTGTAATCCCAGCACTTTTGGAGGCTGAGACAAAAGGATTGTTGCAAGCCAGGATTTTGAGATCAGCCTGGGCAACATAGCAAGCAATTCTGTCTCTAAATAAAAAATAACAAAAATGGTCCAGGTGCGGTGGCTCATGCCTGTAATTCCAGCACTTTGGAAGGCCGAGGTGGGTGGATCACGAGGTCAGGAGCCTGAGACCAGCCTGGCTAACACAGTGAAACCCCATCTCTCCTAAAAATACAAAAATTATGTGGGCATGGTGGCACGTGCCTATGGTCCTAGCTACTTGGGAGGCTGAGGCAGGAGAATCATTTGAACCAGGAGGTGGAGGTTGCAGTGAGCTGATATCGCGCCACTGCACTCCAGCTTGGCTGACAGAGTGAGACTTTGCCTTAAAAAAGTAAATAAATAACAAAAATTGGCTGGGCATGGTAGCTTGCACCTGCAGTCCCAGCTACTTGGGAGGATGAGGCGGGAATTTCTCTTGAGCCCAGGAGTTCGAGGCTGCAGTGACCTATGATCAGACCACTGCACTCCAGCCTGGAAGACAAAGCAAGGCTCTTGTCCCTAAAAACAAACAAACATAGCCAGGCATGGTGGCATATGCCTGTAATCTCAGCTGCTTTGGAAACTGAGGTGGGAGAATCTGGGAGGCAGAGGTTGCAATGAGCCAAGATCACGCCACTGCACTCCAGGCTGGGTGACAGAGTGAGACTGTCTCAAAAAACTAACAACCATCAAATAAACAAAAAAAAATTTAAAAAGATGGGGGAGGCCAAGCGTGGTGGCTCACACCTTTAATCCCAGAACTTTGGAAAGCCAAGGTGGGTATATCACTTCAGGTCAGGAGTTTGAGACCAGCCTGACCAACATGGTGAAACCCCGTCTCTATTGCAGGAAAATCGCTTGAACCCGGGAGGCGGAGGTTGCAGGGAGCCGAGATCATGCCACTGCACTCCAGCATGGGCAACAGAATGAGGACTCCATGTCAAAAAAATAAATAAAAAGATGGGGGATCTAAAGCAGAAGCACAGGGCACCTGAAGATAAACACTTGATGTGCATATAAAAGAAGAGTCCTGCCAGAATTCAATTCACTCTTGCTTTCATATACCACAAGGGGAGGAATTCTCCTCCTGGTGCCAATGGTGCCATGAAGACTGGCAAGAAGAGGAGCACAGGTGCCTCCTCTTCCACCACCCAGGTATGTGGGAGAGGAAATCTTTTAACACTAAGGCAGGAAGAACTTTTTCTTCTGGTGACTAAAACTTCACGGAGAGGTTGAGTTCCTTGTCATCCGAATTTCCTACTTGAAATACAGGATATATTTTTCCCAGAAAGAAATATGATACAAAATTTTGCTTTTTTTAAATATGTGATTAAGGCGATTTATGGATGAAAGGTATTTTGTGTACACATGTGTGGTTGTGTATATATATTAGCTGTTGAACATATTGTTGGTTCTATGGGAAAACGAATTGCAGGCTGACTTTCAAGATACAATCCATTTGCCAGCTGTGGACTCTGCACGCCTATGCAGAGTAAGTAAGAGCAGTAATGACAGTGGCAAAATGCACCAGACAAGTTGTGATTAGAACTCTCCCATGAAGAAGGGAATCTGGGGCTATTTAAGAGCAATGCAGCTGACCACATAAAATGCAAATTGAAGCAAGCTCTAGGTGGCTGTTCAGGCCCTGCCTGGTCCGAGCCAAGTTTACGTAAAGCTTCGGTAGCTATCCTAGGGCCTGGCTCCATGAGTGTTGAGGAAAATGAACTAGATTGTCATACATATGTCTCCTGGTTAAATTAGACTTAGGAAAACATGCTGGTTTGAGGAGGTGCTGAGCTTGTGTGTATCTGATAGGAGGGAAGGGACAACATAGATTATCACAGAAGGTTAGTAAAAGAGTTAAAAGTCCTTGCACCTGTGTTCATGGATCAGCAATGCCTTCCTCTTAGGGGCAGAAGCTAATATGGAGATAAGATTGCCTTGACTAGTTCTCAAGAATGTCAGTAAAGGGGATCAATTTAAGTGAATTAATGTTAGTCCCATAACCTATTCATATTTAAGAGTTGATTTGCTGGTTTGCAGCTGAAATAAGATATTTTTCTTCCCTTTCTGCATATGGTCCTGGCTTTCTAACATTCTAAATACAGTTCTATAGTTTTCATTAGCAGTCATCAAATCTAGCTGAATCTTCTTTCAAAGTACCCCTTTTCTTTCACTACTGACCTGACCTATCTCTAGCCTCTCCCAGTTTCAACCCACCTTGATTGCTGGGGGCAAATTTACTTTCTTAAAACAATGCTTGGATTAGGTTACACCCTGTTTCTAGATCCTTTCACCTCCCTGCGAGTAACTACAGAAAAAAGCCCAAACCTCCAGCCTGCCTTTTAAGGCCCTTCGGAGTCCTCACCTGTAAATTCCCCCTGCCCCCATCACTCCTGCACGCAAGGCAACAAAGTCTCCTTGGCATCCTCTGAGAGGTTGTTCTCATTTCTGCCACATGCTTTGTCCACACCTCCCTGAATTCCTCAATTCCTCCCTCTCTGTCTTAAAAGAACATTTCTGAGTCTGTCTACTCCATGAAGTAGAAGTCTGAGCTCATTTTTGCCCACACCCTGCTCACTCCTCTCCATTCCTTGCAGTGAATTGGTCTCAGAATCTCTGGCTTCCTTGTCAAAGAGGTGATGCTGTTCTCCATCAGGGTGAACAAGTGTTCTCAGAATCTCTGGCTTCCTTGTGAAAGAGGTGATGCTGTCTTCCATCAGGTGTGGGCAGTACAGAATGAAGGAACACCCCAGGGCCCTAGACAGGTGCCTGGCACATCCTGGACACTCAACAAATATCTGTTAATTTTAATGAATAATGTAAGGTATTGGACTTTATTCACTTTCCACCCACTTTCCCCCTAGGCCAAGGACTTTCCTCCCAGGTGAGATAAAAGCATCTAGATACCTTAACTTTGATAAAGTTAGCTCTGACATATAAAAAGCAGAACTTCCTCTGTAACCCTGTGAGAAATGAGAAGCCTCCAATCTTCTTCCCCAGACCTACCCCCTACTGAGTTTCGAGTTCCTTGAAAATAACTGACCTAGATCGTTTCTGACAAAATAAAACTTTGCATCTTCTCTGCAGAGCAAAGGTAACCTTACCTTCAGCCAGCCAAATCATCCACAAATTTTCATGCCAGAAAAAATATTTTTAAAAATGGAGATGTGGCTGGGCGTGGTGGCTCACGCCTGAATTTCCAGCACTTCGTGAGGCCGAGGCGGGCTGATCACCTGAGGTCACGAGTTCGAGACAAGCCTGGCCAACATGGTGAAAATACAGAAAAATTACCCGAGCATGGTGGCACACGCCTGTAATTCCAGCTACTCTGGAGGCTAAGGCAGGAGAATTGCTTGAACCCGGGAGGTGGAGGTTGCAGTGAGCCGAGCCGAGATTGCGCCATTGCACTTCAGCCTGGGCAACAGAGCAAGACTCTTGTCTCTTAAAAAAAAAAAAAAAAAAAAAAGGAGGTGTGAGGGTAAAATATCTACAGGCAAGAACAGCACAACAGGTGCTGAGCTGCAAAATCAACACACTAAACTCCCAAACAGACCTTCAAGACAAGCCAAAAACTCTTTAGCTAACCTACTGTTCTTTAGCTGTTGTTTCAGGGGGCTTTTCGAGAACAAAATTGCCGCCCCTTCTTGGCCTTGCCGCTTTTTACCCATCTCTCTATTGAGCGTATGTCAAGCTTGCTTATCTGGGCGCTATCTTTGTCGCACCCAGTTATCTCGCTCAGCCACCGGGCGACCACGTTTCCTTAAATCAGAGCCCCGTGGACTCCGCCTGAGAACTACATTACCCAGCGGCCTCCGCGCCCTTCGCAGGAAGGACGTCTGCGCACTAAGATACTCAGTTCCAAGTTTGGAGCTTTTAGCTGCCAGCCCTGGCCCATCATGTAGCTGCAGCACAGCCTTCCCTAACGTTGCAACTGGGGGAAAAATCACTTTCCAGTCTGTTTTGCAAGGTGTGCATTTCCATCTTGATTCCCTGAAAGTCCATCTGCTGCATCGGTCAAGAGAAACTCCACTTGCATGAAGATTGCACGCCTGCAGCTTGCATCTTTGTTGCAAAACTAGCTACAGAAGAGAAGCAAGGCAAAGTCTTTTGTGCTCCCCTCCCCCATCAAAGGAAAGGGGAAAATGTCTCAGTCGAAAGGTAAGAGGCTATTTGCATTAGTTGCAAAAATGCAAAGCGTTGTGCATGCATTTATGAATGCATGGATGCAATTTTCGCCTGGCGATTGCATTTTTAAGTTTGAGGTTTTCCACAGCTCAGTTGCATTTCCTGTTTAGTATGTGTCTTTTTTTTGCAGACACAGAGAGTTCCTGTAAGGCAGGGCTTGCAGTTCAGCTGTGCATTGACGTTATTTGCATTCTTCTGCTAGGATTACTGAGCTCTTTTTGCCTTTTGCACAGTCAGGAGAGACAGAGCAGGTTGGTAGCGTCTAAATGTGCAAGGCTTTATGTAATTGTAAAATTCTGTACTATGCACACATATTATAAGTAATTTTGTATGCAACAGGAATAGAAACTTTTAAAAACTCTATAGGTGAAGATGAAAGGTAAAACTTGAGTTAAACTACTAGGAAATTAATGTAATCGTATATTATTTGGGGAATAGACTGTTGCGGTGCTAGTATTTAGCTAAATTTCCATTGATACCGCTTTGAACATTAGGCAACTTTTGATTTTTAAAGTAAGTAAAGGTGAAGGGTGAATAACAGCAGATCACAAAAAAGCAGAGAAGTCTTGCTCTCTGAGATTTTGCACTTTACACCAATTGCTTATTGGCTCGCAAAATTTAGAGGCAGCAGAGAAAACCTAATGTTTTATGTCTGCCCATTTGGGAGATGCTTTGCATCTTGGGGGAAAATACTGGGGTTAAAACTGTACTTTTAAGCATTATAGCAATGTGAAGGGACTGCATTGTTTCATTGACAACCATAATGAAATATTTTAAGTGTGTAACCGCATATATTTAGTCAGCTATAATAGGTCGGAAGTTCAGTTTATGGTTGTTTTCTTTATGTTCTTTTCTTAATTTTTGTTTTTAAACACAGTTGTATTTTGCAGACTTAATGTCCTCCTAGGAAGGGGATTTAAAAAATTCCTGATTTGACATCAAAGAGAAGACTGGGTGCTGTCAGGTGCCTCTGGGACCCCAAATCACTTGTTTCAAAACAATTGTTTCTTTACCATAGTGAAAGCACATGCCATATGAGAAAGTATGGAATGATGAAGAGAGGAGTTAGATACTGTTGAATTAGGCTAACTGGGGCACTATTTGAGCAAGACCTGGTGAAATTAAGATGTCTAATAAGCTTTTTGCCACTTTTTTGGGAGGGTGTATGGGGAGCTGTTGCACCACTTTTTAATTCTACCTGATGGGAGTTATATATCTTAGCAGCCCAAGAAGGAAGTAATAGTCTCAAGCATTCAAAGTAGTACTCTGCTTTTCTTTGAGTATCAGGGAGAAACGGAAATCTGAAAAGTTAAGTGTGCTGAAGAACCTAGGAATTGGCATATCAGGTGGAGATGTTCATTAAATAGGGAAAACTTAAAATCTCCTTATTGAGTAGAGAAGTAACAGTTTAGAAGAGGCAGTCATGCTTTGGTGTATTAAAGAGATGGCATTTAGTTACTTTGTATTTGGTAAACATTTGCTCATTCATTCAATTCAGTTTAATATATGTATAAATATATTGTGATATGGATGTATATACATATGTATGTGTGCATATATCTGTATGTGTATGTATGTATTGTGTGTGTATGTGTGCACATGATTTAGGGACACACAAAAATATTTAAAATGAAGTTATTCCTTCAGGCTGGTGAAAACAGAATGTAAAGAAATCATTATAATACAAGATAATAGGTCAGATATTGAAGAGAAATGGTGCTATTGGAGTTTTAAAATGGAAGTGATTTATCTATTTGGGGGATAGTCAGGAAGGTTTATGAAGAAGTTGGTGTTTACTGTGATCTTATCTTTGGACTTTGGGGTCTAAACTAAATCAGGCTCATTTTTGCATGATTTTGGATTCGCTATGAACATAGATCCCTCTTAGTAGAGCCAGTTTTTGAGTTGAGAAGCTAAAGGAGATATTAGCCCTGCACTCTTTCCTATGAATGTGTTTACAATGGATCAGGTACTGGTGGTCCTTCAAATCAATTCCTGTTTACCCAGATGAGTTTTCTTAATTGGATTCTGCTTGGAAAGTACATATGGAATGAACATGGGGTTCTTGTCCAAAAGGAAAATTATTTGTAGAAAGAAGTGAGTGATCATTTTGGAAATAGCAAAAGAGCCACCTTGGCCTGGACTTTAAATGTAGAATTGGCCTTATTCAGCTATGCTATTCTCAAATGGCCAAAATACTTTTGCAGCACTAAACTTCTTTTTAATACTCTAAACAAAGAAATGGAAGGAAAAGTGAAAGGTGGATACGATCTCATCATATTGAAGAACTTAACAACATGTTCAATTCAAGGACCTTTACGAACTTTCTAGATCACTATAATTCGGTTTAACAGACCTCTAATTTAAGGCACAGCAAAGGCAAAGGAATTACAGACTCCCTGGAAGGACTGGGTTACTTCTTTACAGCCTTACCAACAGTGAGATTCTGAGAAAGAATTTCTTAAAAAGAAATTTTGTTTTCCACAGTTGTAACTTTAGGTTGTGTGCTTTTCAGCTTGTTTATATTAGCTGTCGGGGGTTGAGCTGACATTTTTCAAATATTAAAGCCTTTTGAGGAAATCTGAAATGTAAGTTAACAGGAAGGGCACCCAGAAAGTGCAGGAATTCCTGCACACTACAGGAAGACAAGCTACAGGAAAAATGTGTCATCTACACTACCCGGGAGAGAAAAACTATTGTTATCAGCCGTAATGATCTTCTGAGGGAGAGAAAGAGGGAGGTAGGGAGATCTGGCACCTCCCGGTTCACCTGAAAATGTACAAAAAGTTTGGCCCTGTTAAAAATACACTTTTCTCACTTCTCCTCCTATTCACCTTTAAAAGATACTAGTTTATTTTAGTTTTAGAAAGCAATAAGTAAATCATGTAAGAAATGCATATGAGGCACAATTCAGAAGCATATAGCAGAGTGATAGGAAAGGTCTTAACTCTACTGGGGTTCTTTGCTTCTGTAATGCATTCCACCCTGGGAAATGAAATGTGTAAATTTCTCATTCTGTATAAATTCCTTTGTTAGATTGTACCAGACGGACTTGTCATGTTTAGCCTGTAATCTGAGCCAGTATGTTTTATAACCCCGTACATCTCAGGACACAAAATCAGAATAGGTACCTTGGGTTTTCCTGAGCTTGTTTTGTATTAGTATTGCATTCAGTTCTTTAGACCATGCAGCATGTTAACTTTAGGGGGCTTCAGGGGTCTCTGGGTGGTAAATTTAATGTTGGAGAAAAGAGTTGAGATTCTCTTGTCTTTGTTTGTCATGGTTTAGTGTTGTTTTAATGACTCCCCAGTATTTTAAAATCTGAAAGATCTACAAGGAATATTTTTAAAACTTAGAAGAAATTTCATAAATAACACTTGTTCATTATAGAATCATTTCATAGAAAAAGAAAAATAAGAATTGCTAGTCACTGCAGTCTACATTTTGGCATTTATTCTTTTGGACTTTTTTTCATATATGTGTGTGCAAAACTAAGTCTATTTCGTTACCTTTTGTTTCACTTACCAATTTATGGGAAAATATTCCCAAGTTTATATATTTCTGCCTTCATAGTATCTTCTTCCATTGTATTTATTTAAATAGTATCTTAATGTTTATTAACTTTCACTATTATGAATATTTCCAACACAATCATCCTAGTCCATACATTATCATTATAGCCTTAGATTAAATTCCAAGGAGCAAAACCATAGGCAATGGATGCCCAGTTCTTTTTCACTCTCCAGTCTCTTTTCTTCCTTCTGAAAATAGCTTTATATTATTGCAGAAAAAAGAAAAAATGACATATGCTAATCAAAAAATTCAAACCAAAGAGAAATTCATAATAAGAATATAAAATTCACTCTTAAGTCATACCACCCAGAGCTAATTACTGTTAGTTTTTTGGGTATTATTTCTACATTTGTACGTACTTGTTACATTACACACTGTATACATGTTTTATAACTTTCTTATACTCTACCATATATCTTGGATATCTTTCCATAGTAGTACACATAATGTTACCTATTTTTTAACAATGGTGTATATTAATTTGTAAGAATGTAGCCATTTACTTAATGTCACATTGAGTTTTCAAATAGTTTTCTTTTCTTTCTTTTTTTTTTTTTTTTGCATAGCTATAAACAGTACTGCAAAGAATACTGTTTATACTTTGAACATACATCTTTACACATTTGCAGAATTATTTCTTTAGGATGATTCCTAGAAGTGGAAGTCCTGGGTCAAAGATATATTGCTAAATTGTCCTCCATTGAGGTAACACTAATTCTCATTTCTACCAATAATATTTAGAAGTGCCCATTCTCTCCTTTCAAGCATTACGGTAAATATTGTCAAGTAAACTGCTCTTCAGGAAGATGATACCTTAGTTCATCCTGGGTATAACAATTTGAAAAAATCTTCGGCAGTTTGATGAAAGCTATTAAGATTCTACTCTTGTATTATTAGTGATAAGGCAATTGCATATTTCACTTTTTTGACATTTGTGTTTTATGTGCCCATATTTATTTTTTTCTCATCAAATATATACTTTAAGTTTTAATTTGGGTGGCTGGGTGTGGTGGCTTAATGCCTGTAATCCCAGCACTTTGGGAAGTCGAGGCCAGTGGATCACCCAAGGTCAGGAGTTTGAGACTAGCCTGGCCAACATGATGCAACGCTGTCTCCACTAAAACTACAAAAATTAGCCGGGTGGTGGTGCACGCCTGTAATCCCAGCTATTTGGGAGGCTGAGGCAGGAGAATTGCTTGAACCTGGGAGGTGGAGGTTGTAGTGAGCAGAGATCGTGCCACTTGCACTCCAGCCTGGGTGACAGAGCCAGACTCTGTCTCAAAACAAAACAAAACAAAACAAAACAAAAAAAACGTTTAATTTGGGGATCAAATTATTTTCAGAGTTAGCCAGAAAATAACAATATTGTAGAGGTTAGGAAATCATGGATTGAAAGTTGG